CCAAGGAGTTTCCCAGGGCCACAGAACTCATAACTGGCTGCTCAGGGCACTTTGAAAACCTGAGAAGAAATGCAGATGGTGATGGTCCCCCAGCTGGGAGTTCCTGTCTGAGGGTGTCTGTCTCCTCCTTTCTCTCCATGGAACACAAGAGCAGAGAACAGGGCTGATGTCTCCGCAAAGTGAAGACATACAGAAAGTTATGTGCTGAGTGCGAAAGAGCCAAGTAGCCGTGACTCTTCATTGAAGTCACCCTAGGGAGAGAGCAGGGGGCTGTCCAAATGGTCAAGGAAGGAGAAGAGCAAGGAATGTATGCTGGCCTATGCCCTGGCCTGCGGAGGTCTCTCTCTCTCTCTCTCTCTCTCTCTCTCTGTCTCTCTCTGTCTCTCTGTCTCTCTCTCTGTCTCTCTCTCTGTCTCTCTCTCTCTCTCTCTCACACACACACACACACACACACAGAAGGTCCATCCTTATTATAAACGGTCTTACTATCTTCTACTTTATAGTCTTGTATTTTATTTTGGAAAAACAAAATGGTTGGCGGCATTTGTACTAATAGGTCGTGATCCACAGTTTGAGAAACACTGCCTCCCTCCCTCCCTGCGCCATTCCCGACCCCCGAGGGTGCAGGGGCCGCTCTGCCGTGTGCATGTGCTTCTGAACAAGTGCCCTGGGCACGTGTCACCCCACCACCTGTGCCACGTGTGTATAGGTGTCATCTGTGGAAGTAGGGTTCTTGGGGTGCCGTGAGGAAAATAATTTCCTGAGGCCCCCATGGGAGGATGAGGTTCTGTCAAAAGTTTTATTGACGACGTAAAATGAAGGGGGTTCCCCTCCAAGGTCCCATCTCTGCCTGTCCCACCACAGGAGAAATCCAGTCTTCAGCAGGGCCAGAGTGGCACTGCCCAGAATGTCCGCTCCACATTAAAGTCCAGTCCAGTCCAGCATCTGGCTAGCTCAGCTGTGTTCCCAGCTTAGTCCATTGTGTGCAGGGTCTGCACAGCCGTGGCCATGTGGCTGCTGAAGGCCACGTGGCTCTGGAGAGAGAACAGGCTAGCACAGGGGCGAGAGCAGGTCACGGAGCCAGAGAGCGAAGGGGAACAAGGCAGAGAGGGAGCTCTGTGTGTGGACTTTAACCTTCCAAGATTTTGTGCGTTTCTGACGGGGTCGACCCCCTCGCTAATTCATTGTGCCCAGGCTAGACTGACAGGCACGCACCTCCCTGCATCACCCCTACTTCACTGAGCATGTACTCATCTCCCCCTTTGTCCCATCCCTTCCCCCAGTGATCTGCAGCCAGTGGGCTGGTGGTTCCCTGGGGAGCGTGAAGCTGTTGTTCGTGGTGAAGCCGCCCAGAGGACCCGGCTCATATGTCCGGCCTCCTCTTTGCTCTCTAACTAATTACGACGATGACAAAGGGAGCACTTTTCCCTACCAAGACAGAAACCCCCAGTTTGGATTCAGTCAGGAGGGTGCCATCCTCAGCTCCTGCCCCGGCTCAGCGTCAAGGGTCCAAGTGTGCTGTCAGCCTTCCCAGGGGCACCATTGGCTCTGGCCCAGGCCTCCCTCTTCATGCCTGCTCCCCAGAGTTCACGCAGCTACACGCACACCCACTCGCGCACGCTCACTCAGGATTCTGCCAGCTTCCCAGACACCACCCGGTGTCCTACACGCACACCCACTCAGCCTTCTGCCAGCACTCCCAGACGCCACCCGGTGTCCTACAGCTCAGCTCCGACACCGACTGCCCAGAGTGAGCATGGACCCCACAAGCTGAAGGACAAGGCCCCCAGTAAGACTGCCCTTGCCGCAGATGCCGGACCCCAGCGGGTCCCCAGGCTACCACACTGCTGTCTGACTTGGCTACAAACAGGACCCCTCTCCAGGTCTGATAATTCACTAGAATGACTCAGAGAACTCACTGAAAACACTCTCCGTGTGATGATTATTTTGTTATAAAGGCTACAACATAAGAGCAGCTGAAGGAAAGAGAGGAGAGGAGGGGTGCGGTGGGGTTAGGGAGGGGTCCGCCAGCTCCCGTGCCCTCTCCTGGTGGAGCCTGGGCACATCACCCTCCCTACACGTCAGGGTGTCACCAGCCAGGGCTCCACTTAGCTTCGGCATCCAGAGGGCTTATTTCCTGAGGGATTAAATCATTGCCTACATGCTTGAGCCCACTTTTCCATCCCATCTCCTCTTTTGGGAGGTCCAGGTAGGGCTGCAAGTTCCAACCCCCTTTGAAACTGAGGCCCCCCAGGAGTCACCTGTGTGGTCACCAGGGGCTCTTTGTGAATAACAAAAGACGCTCTTTTCCCTCAGGAAATTTCAGGGATTTTTGAAGCTCTGCCAAGAAAGAGGGACAAAGGCCAGATGTGTTTTCTTTCTTTCTTTTCTTTTTTTTAAATCCTCACCCAAGGACATTTTTCCATTTATCTTCAGATAGAGAGGGAGGGAGGGAGGGAGGGAGGGAGGGAGGGAGGGAGGGAGGGCAGGAGGGAGGGAGGGAGGGAGGGAGGGAGGGAGACACGGATGTGAGAGAGCCATTGATTGGTTGCCTCCTGAACAACCCTGACCAGGGCCAGGGGACTGAACTGCAACCAACCAAGGTACATGCCCTTGACTGGAATTGAACCCTTGACTCTGGTCCGAGGGCCAACGCTGTAACCGCTGAGCCAAGCTGGCCAGGGCCAGATGTATTTCCTGAAATCACCCACACCTGTCTCACTTGCCCTGGCACACCCCTGGTGCTACCCCTGGTGGGCAGGAGGCAGCTCGCATCTTGGACCTCTGCAGACGAGGCACAGTGACCTCTTTTCCTTGAAAGACAGCAGCTCCTGGAGTTGGCTGAGGCTCGGGAGGCTGCCTCAGCTCAGTGATGCTGCAGCTCAGAGCAGGGCCAGGCTGCGGGAGCCCAGGCGCTGTCAGCTCAGCGGACACAGGCCTCTGCAGGTGAGCGGTCCTCCTGCTGGGTCCCCTGAGAAGGCTGCCTTCCAGGTGGGCACCTTTGCAGGCAGTATCCCACCTGCCTCGTTTCTGCACCCCCCAACCCCCGCCCCCCGGAAGCCTCCCTCCCGTCCGCCCCGTTCCCTCGGAGTTCTCACGCTCTCTCCATGCTCCAGGACAGGGGCTGGTAAACTCATTTCCGACCTCTGTTCCATGACTAATGGATTCATTGTGTCACTGCTCCCGAGGGGACAGGCACCGTCACAGGAGAGCACGCCCTGAGGTAGAGGGAGCCACGCTCTGGCCTAGCAGAGGGTAGCAGAGAGCTCGGGACCTGGAGTCTAAGGCCGGGCTCAGATCCCAGCGCCAGCACCAGCACCAGCACCTACTCACCTTGTGGCCTCGGGCACTGCTTACCTCTCTGTTTCCTCCTCTATAAAATGGGGGTGATAATAGCACCCCCCCCCATAGCATTAATAGGAGAATAAGTAAGATCATGGATTCTAAGGAAGTGGAGTCAGGGCTTGGGGCAGGCTAGGAAGGCAATACGTGTTAGCTGTTACTATCAACACTAACTATGTTACTGTAATGTTTCACTAACAATGATAATAACAGTGTATTAATAACAAAGAAATGTGCTCATAGTAATAGTAACAACAATGGCAGACTTTGGAGCATCCCCAGAGGCTGGTAGGACAGTGTGCCTCGGTGGGGAAAAGGGAGGGTCATCCCGGTGGTCCTCCAGAGCCCTTCTGTCTGGGGCCACGTCCGCGGAGATGTCCCAGTGGTCTCCCAGCCTCCCTCAGCAACTTGGGCCTGACTCCTGGTCTTCAACTCCAGCCCAGGTGCAGGGGGCCGGAGTGGGAGAAGCTCAGACCCCCAGGTGGGGATGCAGGGGGAGCGGAGGGGGACACGGTGACCGAGTCCTTTCTCAGGAAAAGAAGGAATGTCCCTTCCTTGGCTGAGGGACACCCCGCCCCCCCTCCCCAGGGGAATTTGTGCCCCCAGAGGCTGTGGAGATTCCAGAAGGTGTCTGTCATCCCCTGGAAGGAGGGCTGAGCTTGGGTAGGGCCAGCAGAGGCTCAGAAGGACATTTTAAAACGCAGAGTTGTGAATGAATCAGGGACCCCCTCCCTGAGATGGCCCTTCATTGAGCAGAACCACAGGAGAAGCAGAAGTGAGGGGTCTGGGTTAGACTCCGTGATGCTTGGCTACTGGAGCAGAGATGTGTCGTCAAGGCCCAGAGGCGTTGTCCTCTTAGCCTCGAGTGAACACCCAGGAGAAGAGAGGACGGGTCTCGCCCACCCCATGAGCCAAGCCCAGCCGGATATTCACTGGCATCTCAGCAGCTGGAGGAGAGGTGTCCTGTGGGGATCGGAGAGTGCCTCAGTTTCCTCATCTGTAAAGTGGGGATAACAACAAAGCTCACGTCAGTGGGTTCTTGGTAGGAAGGAGTTAGTGAATCTATGCAGAGTATTCGTAACGGTTCCTGGCACAGAGAAAGCTCTGTGTTCATTATTAGCGACTTTTATTTCTGTGGGGAAAATGGTGTGAATTGGCTAATACCTGGGACCATTTCCATCAGCCGCCCCCAGAGTGTACGTGCTGTGTGAGTGTGTGGGGATGAATTGAAATGCCCCCTGACTCTGAACATGAGAACTTTCCTAACTGTGGACCCTGGACCACCACCCATATCAGAATCAGCTGATTCCGGACCCCCTGACCCTCCTCCCCCACAACCAGCATCTCTGAGGTGGGACCCAGGAATCTCCATTTTAAATGCCCCTTGCCTGACTCTGTCTACAGCACAGAATTCTTTGGGAAACATCGGTGTAGTCGAACCCCCTCTGTGGGCAAATGAGAAATTGAGACTCAGGAGCCAGGGGCATGGGCCTGATGGCACGTGGCTTGTGGGGCAGAATCCCCCGTTCTCCCGAGGGATGCTTGACTGTCCACCCTGCCTCCTTGTTTCTGGAACATTCCGATGACTTCCATCTCTCTGTTGTCCTTCTAACCTCCACCCGAGTCTTTGATTCATGGCGCCCCCTTGTCTGTTGCAGACATTCCTGGTGCGCCAGGACAGCTGCTCGAAGCACCTGGTGCTCTGCGTCCACTTCCCCGCCCTGGTCGGGAGCTCGTCCAAGGTGCTCGAATACACCATTAAAGAAGAAAAGTCGAGTAAGTACCCGCCCTTCCATTCTGGCCTCCGGCCACACAGCAGCAGCAGATGCCACACTGCCTAACCACAGACACTCCCATCAGGCAGAGGGGTGTAGAATTAGAAGAGGGGAAGCTGTCAGGGCACTGAGCTGCTGGGCAGGGCAGGGCAGGGCAGGGCTGCATCGGCGCTTCCCAGTCCCTGCTTGCGGGTCGCTTCCTCCTAGCTTCGCCTCAGCTCAGGCTGGTGGGAGGGAAGCAACGGAGCGGAACGTCTGGGCCCCTGGGTGCTAGTGACAGCCCAGCACACACTCAGACCTGCTCTCAGACAAGTCACTTAACCCCTCTGAGCCTCTGTTTTCTCATCTGTCAAATGGACACAGCAGTCACTTCCTGCCTGGCCACAGACCTTTGTGAGGATCCAATGGGCAAGCGCTTCAAAGACAAAACCGTGTGCGCACAGGGCAGCCAGGAGCAAGCTCGCACCCGGAAACGCGTTCGGGAGCCCCTCCAGGGTGGGTTTGCACCGACGCAGGAGTGTTCGGGCTCCCCTTCCTCTAATGGGCCATGCCACATATTAAGGGCTCAAAAGCCTGTTAGAAGAACCTGAAGAATATTCTGCCCTGGCCAGTTTGGCTCAGCGGTTAGAGCGTCGGCCTGCGGTCTGGAGAGACCCGGGTTCGGTTCCCGCTAAGGGCATGTACCTTGGTTGCAGTTTGTCCCCGGCCCTGGTTGGTCGTGCGGGTGGCAGCCACTCGATGTGTCCCTTTCACATCGATGTTTCCCTCTCTCTCTCTTCCTCTCTCTCCCTCCCACTCTGTCTGTACAAAAAATGGAAAAATGTCCTCGGGTGAGGATAAAAAAAAAAAAAAAAAAGAACCTGAAGAATATTCCAAGTGCCAGCTTGGCTCCTCTTAGAAGGAGGTCTAGGGCATGTGGGAAGCTTTTTACTCTTGGTTAGCAACAGAGGGACAACAGTTAAAGAAAAGAAAATATGTGATAAGTATTATTTTAGTATTCTAAGTATATAATAAAAATAGATGGATGTCATTATATATTATATACTTAAATAATTTATATTTACATAATTACATATTACTTAAATCTTTTGGAACATAGAGATGAATAAGACAGAGTCACGGCCTCAAGGGTCTCTCAGTCTGACTGGAGGTGGGGGACATGGTGAGTGGGAAAAAGAGACATGGGCCCTTGCTGTGTAATGTGACTGCTGAGGGACCTGGGCTGTGGGGCACAGAGGCTACAGGTGTCAAATGAACTCAGAGAGTCTAGAGACTTTCAGGAGAAGCATGACAGAAGAGTCTGGGGCTAGGCAAAACCCCAGTGTTGGAGAGAAGGAAGTAGAATTCTTGTGACGTAACGTGCATTCTTGAACGTTATCAGTCCTGCATTCTTGGCCCTAGGGTTGCTCCAGGACCACTACCAGATGTCAGGTGATCTGGAGGACAGGTGCCAGGACAGCTGGTTGTGTCCAGTGGTCAGGATAACGGATTCCGTGGAGGTCAGATGGTCTGGGTACGTGAGTCCCTCAGGAAATAATCAGAAGGGACGTGAGTCGCTCAGGAAACATCTGGCGGTCTGGTGTATGTCCAGATAGGTGGTCAGGCATTGACGCCAGCCTGGAAAGTTCAAGACGTTTAGGATCTCAGGCTAGTCAGAACAAGAACAGACTCGCTTCCTCGTGCCTCGGCCTACCTGGTTTGAGTAATTTAGCAGGTTGACTGCAGGGACTGCGTTTATTTCCTCTGTTCCTCGCAGACCATGGCAGGGGGCATTCGGGAGGGTGTCACATCGGAGGGAACACGGCTGGGTCCTGAAGGCGGGTGCGTTAGTTAAAGGCTCAGGACTCGGAGGCTGGTCTCTGCTCCTGCCATAGGGGTCCTTTCTCTGGAGATCTGGACTCACAAAGAATGGGTAAAACATGACTCACTCACTCATGTGTCCAACCGGTGGTTATTCTCTGCTCTGTGGCAGGCACTGTCCTACCAGTGGGGACACAGCAGGGAACAAGACCCAGTCCCTGCCTCTCGGAGACAGTAAGTCAGATGGAGAGTCAGGCTGGGAGAACACGGAAGTGGGAAGATTAACCAACTGCTGCAATAACAACAAAAAGTGTAATGGCTTAAACACTAAAGAGGCTAGTTTCCTACTCAGGTGTGGTGTTCCTGGTCAGTGGATACGGCTCCGGGACCCTGGCTCCAGGAGGCTCTGCACCTTGAGCACACAGCTCCCGGTTCCTACTGTTGACTCCACACCAATAGGCTGGAAGAGGAAACAGCGTGGAGGGGGCTTGTGGGCGGATCCCACCAAGTCCTAGAAGTGGGTGTGGCACCTGTGCTTATATTCCACTGGCTAGAACTCAGTCATATGACCCCACCCAACTGCAAGGGAGACCGGGAAATGTGGTCCAGATGTGTGTCCAGACAGAAGCAGAATGCCTGATTTTGGTGGACTGCCAGGAGTCTAAGGTTATAGAATGTGTGGGGTTAATTTATAGCAAACCTTAATGACCCCTGTCCTTCAGTGTCCAGCAGGAAGGAAAGTGTAGGGATCTCAGCGAGGAAAGAAACAGCATTATAGTTTTCCCAGATCAAATATCTAGCACCCTCTACCAACTGCAGGAGGGGTGAAGCCGTTCGGGGCGCCTGCTGCTCTCCAGAAACCCTTGCTCAGCAGGTGCCTCTGAAGTTGCAAAGACCCGGTGCTGTCTGAGGTCCTGGGAGAAGGACAGACATCAGCCTATCTGCTTACGGACTTGTGTGGTCCTGCCTCGAGGCTCCGGGGACTTGCCTGCCCAGACACTAGTTAGCTGCGATCCCTTAGAAACCCAGGAGCCAGATGTGCTTTACGTGTTAACACACCGACATCAGGAAAGCAGCTGGAAGTGGGGAGTAGTGATGTGTGGTCTGTTACATGTCACCATGTGCTCAAGAAGTGCCATCGGGGAGCACTGTTCAAGGTCAGGCTGGTTGGGAGGCTTCTTGGAGGAAGAGGGCATGAGGCCGGACTGACAGAAAGTCTGGAAGTGCTACTTCAGCCCCTTCGCTTCTTTCCCACCTCTCTGCACAAGGCCCCCCAGTGGAACCAGCTGCCATGTCCGGTTGCATGTCTTATTTCTGATTGGGAGACCAAGGGACAAACCAGGACACGAGGATGGAGGCAGCTTACTCCCCTGGGTTTGTGACTTCCTCCCAGCACCATATGGTGGAGTCATATTTTCCATTTTTAAACTTTGAAAAATTCAGTACCCAGCTTTGCTAAAAAGACCATCAAAATCCAAACCAAAATCCTGTACAGAACATAACTTTTCCAATCATGATTTGTGTCCATTCACTGTAACCACACAGATATTATCTATAAGTTTGTATGTGTTTTATTTTGCTCTTTTTTTTTGAATCCTCACCGGAGGACATTTTTCCATTTTTGTTCAGCTAGAGTAGGAGGGAGAGAGAGGAAGAAAGAGAGAGAGAGAGAGAGAGAGAGAGAGAGAGAGAGAGAGAGAGATCCACCTGAAAGGGACACATCGAGTGGCTGCCTCCTGCACGCCCCCGACCATGGCTGGGAACGAATCGCAACTGCAGTACGTGCCCTGGACTGGAATTGAAGCCGCGACTCATTGGTCCGCGGGCCAATGCTCTAACGACTGAGAAAACCGGCCAGGGCTTTGCTCTTTCTTTATATTATTTCACTGCTCCCTGTACCTCTAACCCTGAGGTCTGCCCCCGGGAACACCCGAGAGAGCAGCAGGTAACGTCTCTTTGCCACGTTGATTCGCCGGGCCTCCCTTTTCCCTTGTCTTCCCGTCAGGACTTTCCTCCTTAGCATCGCGGGGTGCAGACCACAGAAGCCACGCAGCCTGTGTTGGAACCCCAGTGCTGCCTTTTGCTACCTGTGTGACCTTGGGCACCAGGGTCCTGCAATGAGGGTGATAGCGGCGCCTCCCTCATAGAGTCCTGGAAGGAGTTAGTGTGTCTAAAGTGCTGAGGACAGCCTGGCCAGTGTCGGATGGACAGCCCCATGGACTGAGAGGTCTCCGTTCAATTCCTGGTCAGGACACATGCCGGATTATGGGCTCGATCCCCAGCAGGGGGCGTGCGGGAGGCAGCCGATCAATGTTTCTCACATCGATGTTTCCATCTCTCCCTCCCTTGCTCTCTCTCTAAAAAATCAATAGAAACATATTTTTAAAAATAGTAATAAAGTGCTTAGGACAGGAAGCATCTTGCCACTTGCTAGATGGGAGGCTGCCCCATTCATTCAGTAAAGCCAGTTAGATCTTTAAAAAAGACAAAGTGCTCGGGATGGTACCCAGGGAACAGGAGGATGTTAGAATAGCTTTGCTGTTTTGTTGTTAATCCTCCTGCAGGATTAAGCCAACAGGAGGAGTGAAATGAGCCTACACAGTCGTCCCAAGGCTCTGGGTAAATCGCAGCCGAGGACCTGGGGGACTGCCTTGTAGTCCCCCTTGAGGAGGGAGCCATCAGCCTCTCAGTGGCCTCCTGTGGCTGTGGTGGCTGCAGTGGGGGCAGCCCGAGGAGGAAGTGGGCAAGGGAAAGGCCCAGGGCCTGGAACTGGGGCCTTGTGTTGGGATTTTCCAATCAGAGCCGACGCCAAGGAAGGAGACGGGGTAATCTCCCAAAAGTGGGTGGTCCGCCTCATCGGTGGCCCCACTCTGTTTGCTTTGAACAAGAAAGACTCCCCTGGACCACCTCTCTGCAACCGTGCGCTCGGACTGTCCTCTGCTCCATGTTCAGAGCTTCTTTGTAAAACCCTGAACCCGTCAGCTCAGACGAGTGCCACAGTGACACAACCCTAAACACATGGCTTGCACAGAGGGTGTGTGTGCACACAAAGTAACGTGAGTGTGTTTTTCACTCATGTTACATGTCAGCTGAGGCTCTTCATAAAAACGTCTTCATTCTGCAGTCGGGGCTGAAAGAGCAGCATCGTCTGGGGGCGGAGGGGAAGGAGACAGATGGCAGAATTCCTCGATGGCTCTCACA